CAGTCCAGAGTCCCATCCCGCTGCACCTTTGCATTCCCCAGTGCCTCTCTTCCCCATGGAAGCTGTGTGCTTCCCACCGTTCTATCTTTGTTCACACCCTGGAATGCGCCTCTTGCCAATCTCCCTTGGTTGAAACCCATCTCAACTTTTCCTTCCTCCATGAAACTCTTCTAATTTTCCTTGGCAAAGTTGTCTTGCCTCCTGAAGCATCTTCTTGGTGGGGCTTTCATTAACAGCACATACTGGCTGTCCCATGGGTGATTATCTGTTACTCATTCTCCTACTGTGCTCCTAGCTTCCTGAGGACATGGGCTCTGTACTTTGTTCATCTTAGCAGCCCTTGCAGAACTGAGTTAGGCACATCATATGCCCTTGTTAACAGAATAAATGGATGGATGGATAGATAAATCAATGGATGAATGACAGACGGGTTGGTGATGGATGGATAAATGGATGGGTGGGATGTATAGATGAATGTATGCATACATAGATGCATGGATGGATGAACAGAAGGATGAATGGATGGGTGGATGGATGGATGAATGGAGCAACTGTTCTCTAAAAGGACTCACAAAAGGCTATGTAATACCAGGGGCTTCCAGGAAGGGAGCTGCCCCTCCCCCCACCATGCCAGGACACCCAGAGGAGGTCACAGTATCCAGGTTGAGCCTTCCTTTGCTAATATATACATCCTTAGTGACTTGTCTCCCAAAGGTCTTGATATATTCCCACTCCCAAGAAGTCACAGTCTGGGAGTTGCTCCTTCCTTCTTGCTCCCCTGGACCTTCTGGAATGAATGCCTTCATTAACGTATTATTTTGTACTGCCTGCACTATAAGGATTCTGTAGGTTTCTTCTTCTGCATCCCCCCCCCCCCATCTCACACACGCCCTGGATTTTGAGCTCCCTGAAGATAGGAACCATGTCTGAATCTCTTGTATATCCCTGGGGCCTGGCATACATGTTTATTGGGTAAGTGAACAAATGAATAACTGAGAGAATGCTGACTCTTTTCCCACAGATACACTTTGCACACTTCCCATGGATTCATGTTCAGTCATCTCTCCTGGTCCTCCCCTCCTCACACACATACACACACACACTCCTGACTCTGATTTCCCTAAAGTCCCAGAGTTATGGCCTGATTGTTTCCTTTACTAATTTGTGGCTGATCCTGGAAGTCCCAGGGCTCTCCCGAGAGTCTGAAAGGGGAGGAGGCTCCTAGCTCCTCGAAAGCCACATTAACTGGGCTCCATTTGGAACAGAAAAGGGTTTCCCTGGGAAGAACCTGGCTGTAGGGAGGGCAGTAGGGTCCCGTGGTAACCTGAGGAATGCTGCCCCAACCTGGCCACGCCCTCCTGCCTCTGCTGTCCCTACTCCTGACCTGTGACGCTGTCCCGAGGTGGGGGGTGGTTGTGGCAGAGACAGACAGATTTAGAAGTAATTTTCGCAGCAGGGAGCCTCCAGCCTGCCACCCACAGGGCCCTTGGAGCCAGTCTGAGATATGGCTCATCAAGGGCTGCCCCCAGACCTGCAGTCGCTCCTCCCCTTCTCCCCAGATCTTTAGCAGCTGGTGCTGACTCCATTCTTAGGCAAAGTTGGAGGAAATCCTGGGGTGGGAGCACGTGACTTTGACACCCTAACCACCCAAGTGTTCCTAGTATACCATTCAGCCTTTCAAGCAGCTTGTCCCCACCCCAGGAATCCCCTCTCCTCTGGATCTGGCCTCTGCTGCCTCTTCCCTATCCTCATGCTCCCATACCCCCAACACTAATGAAATAGCCCTAGAGAGAAATAATAATCAGAACTCAACACTTATATATCACTTACTAGGTACCAGGCATTGTTCTCAGCGTTTCACATATTGAATCATTTAATCCTCCCAACAAGACTATGAAAGGAACACTATTAATAATCCAGCTTTATAACTGACACCAAGACACAAAGAGGTTGAGTCACTTGCCAAGGTCACACAGCTAGTATGAGATAGAGGCAAGATTCAAACCCAGGCCACATAGTCCATGTCCTAAATACAAGACTACCCGAGTTTTCTGACAATGGCAGAGAGAAGTAGAGGTAGGGGAAGAGGAGGAAGTGGCAGCAGAGGCCAGATCCAGTATGGGTAAACTCTTAAAAACTGGCCTCCTGGGTGTTCAGCCTCTAAGAGGCGCAGGCTGTGAGGTGGAGCGCACCTTCACAGTGCCAGCCCCTCCCATACAGCTCACTCTTCTACCAGCCTCAGAGCCCTGCCTCCTTGGGCCGTAGCACAATCCAGGCAGATACGGTCACCACTGCCCTGACCTTCCTCTGTCTTCCTCCTAGCCTGAAGTTCACTCTTTTCTCAAGCCCAGAGGTCAAAGGCACACACTCCTCAGCGGGACCAGGCTCATCCCAACCTGGCCTCAGTTTTCCTTCCTTCCTTCATCTTCCACAACTCCCCCAAATGTACCTTCAACTTCAGTCAGACCAGACCATTTCTCCCACATCCACACTTCTTCTTTTTGCTGTTCTCTCTACCTAAGACCCCCCTTCCCCAAATTCAGTCTTTTTTTTGTACGTGACACCCACTGTTTAATTTTATCGTTACTGGTGTGTTTTCACCTTCACCCCTTGTCAAGCAGGCCTTACTCCTCTTTCCTGGAGTCCTGGTTCCTCTCAAGTGCTCAGTAAATGCTCAATGGTTAGAACCTGCAGCAGATATAATTGTAGGTGGAAGGGAGCCAGACCTCAGGAACCTTTGATCTCTGCTCAAGGTGACCCCCACTTCCTTTACTTCCTCTACCAGGAGCTAACTGGAAACCTGGCAGTGTGGGTTTCAGGCAGGTTCTGGGATAGACCTTCCCTGGGCGACTCTGACCAACATTCTCCCCTCAGGTTCAGAAGCCCAAAGAGGACCTCCCTCCCGCTCCAACAAACCAAGGCCAGGCAGCCAGCTTAGGGCCCCATCCTGCACAGTCTCTCCAGGTGCGCGTGGAGAGTGATGTGGAGATAATTGGAGACCAAAACCGTAAGTGGTTTGAGAGCGGGATTGGTGATCTGAACGCTGAGCCAGAGTTGGAGTTGGCGGGACTTGGGGGCGGGGGGGGGGGGCAGAGGCGGAGTGGAGGGCAGGGCCAGGCAGGACTCTGAGACTGAGTCTGGGCGAAGCCCCCGCGCCCGGCGAGTCGGCGGCTAAATTTACCCAGGCTGACTCAGCCCTTGCCCGGAATGGGGGGTGGGGGGAGTGCGCGGGGCAGTGGGAAGAGCCAGCGGAGGTGGGGGGCAAGGAAGGGAGAGTCCGCACTGGGGGAGACAGGAGTGGGCCGGGAGTTTCCATCAAAGAAAGGAGTCCCCCCCCCACTCCCCCTTCCCGCCCCCCAAGCGAGAAGGAGCGGAAGAGCCCTGTGGGTGGAACGCAGTGGGGACAGGGTAGGTGAAAGGAAGAAGAGGCCAAGGTTGGACAAAGGGAAGCTTAGATTTATTGAGCGCCTACCGTGTGCCTGGCACTGTGCAAGGCGCTTTACATACATGATCGCATTAAATCCTCACAACAACCCTGCGAGGTAGGTGTTTATATACCCCCATTTGACAGATGAGGAAAGTGAGGCTCGGGGAGGTGAAGTGATTTGGCCGAGTCCACATGGCTGGTAAATAGAGAGGAGGTGTCCAAGGTAAGAGAGCAAAAAAGACCTCAGCGTCTGGGTCCCAAGCCAGATAAATACCAAGAGGGGCTCATTCAGAGGCCTGCTCCCGACCCCGCACACCTGGAGGCGGCAAGGCTGGGGACCCCGCGCTTTAACTGGGGATCAATTGATTAACTGGCCTGTGGGAGTAGGAAGGACTCGCGGACTAGCTACGGGGGAAATCCGCGACCTGCGCGCGCCCCATAGTGGCTACAGCGAGGATCACACCTATACCCACAGGCTTTTTGGGACCGCCTCCCCCTTCCTACTGTAGCAGTTTCTGGAAGAGGCAGAGATGCAAGAAATTCTCAGGATTCTTTCAGACGAATGATACCACCTGGGTGGAAAGTCATGGCAACGATTCAGAGCATCACTAAGAAACACTGGGGAGGAGGAAAGAGGAAGGTCTGAAGAGGTCCCACGCCGATTGACTGTCTGCCTTCCCTCTCCTGCTTGGACCACCACAGGCCAGGGACAGTGACAAGGCCACCACCCCGCCCTGCCTTGGGTAACCCTCACCTAAACCTGAAAGACTGGGATAGGAGCCCTTGCCCATTTACTCAGCTCTTCTGCAAACCCTGGACAGTCTCTAGAATTGAGAATGAGTGCAGGTGACCATGAAGCCACCCAGAAACCCTCAGACTCTATTCATCTATTCCTAACTCTTTCTTGGCTTGTGAAAGGGAAGGATGAGATAAAAGCTTCCCCAAAGGCTCCAAAACGACATGGACGGACCTTAGAATCCCTTCGTTTTACATATGAGGAGGCCTGGAGAAGGAAAGCGACTTGCCTAAGGTGCCCCAGGAAGTGAGTGTCAGAGTTAGGAAGGGAACCCAAGACTTGTGACATCAAAGTGAGCCCTCTCCCTGCTTTGCTGGCTGCTTCTGGACTCCCTCCTCTTCTGCCAAGGGCGTCTCTGTCGCCTGTTCACTTCAGTCCAAAGCCTCTCCATCACTTTCTCCCTCCTGCCCAGAGGCCCTTCCCTGAAATTGCCCTCCCATGACTATACCATTCCTACCCTCCTGCCTACTCTTGGGCAGGCTTCTCTGCTCACTCTACACCCAGGGCAGCAGCTACCTCTGCTGAAGCCCTTACCAGAGTGACCTGAAAGAAGCAGGCATTAAAGTCTACTGTTCACCTGACCCCTCCTGATTTTTTTTTTTTAAATACAGCCCTAGCCAGTTTGGCTCAGTGGATAGAGTGTCGGCCTGAGGAAGGAAGGTCCCGGGTTTGAGTCTGGTCAAGGGCACGTACCTCGGTTGCAGGCTCCTCTCTGGCCCAGGCCCTGGTCCAGCCACATGCAGGAGGCAACCAATCAATGTGTTTCTCTCACAGATATTTCTCTCTGTCTTTCCCTCTCTCTTCCACTCTTTCTAAAAATCAATGGGAAAATATCCTAGGGTGAGGATTTTTTAAAAATTACAAATCAGCGTATGTTCCCTTTCCTTTCATTCGGGCGGCTTCTTTTTGGGTTATGGGAACCGGTATAGGTAAGGGGTAAAGGAAGTCTGTGAGGAAGTAAGGGGGCCAGTGGGCCCAAGGATGGATGGGTTGGGAAGCACAAATACAACAAAGAGCCTCTCACTGCCGCTCCCTACTTCTCCGTGGGGCCCCCGTCCTGTTCCTCTCTCCAGAAAGGGCCTCCCCGGTTTGGCTGATGACATCCAGAATCTCTCGGATACTGTCGTGCCGCTGTGTGGTCTTCCCGCCCTCTCGGCACCCGGCTCGCTCACTCCGCCAGGGGGCGCCGGAGGCTTCCGTGTCGCTTCCATCAGAGGAGCTGCTATGGGCGCTGAGCTCCGCAGCTTCGTTCCGAGTCCGAGTCAGGGGCGGTGTGGCGGCGGATGCGGGACACGGCTTCCCGCAGGGCCCCGGGCGTAGGGCCCCGGGGTCCGCGCCCAGCCCCGCCCCGCGTGCCGGGGGACCCCCGCCACTCCCCCCCGAGCCCTCGGCGCTATTCGCGCCTCCTGAAAGCCGCTGGGCCGGAGACTGAGCGCCCCAGGCTACCTGGCGGCGTGGGGGCGTCTTGCAGGTTGACTTCGTCCACCGGGAGCCCCAAGATGCGGGAGGCGCGCTCCTCCAAAGAGGGATCCGCGGGCTTCCCGCCCTCAGCTTCGAACCCGCGCGCCCCGTGTGGCTGTTGTGAAAGGCGGCTGCTCGACAGCAGCTTTTGGCAAGGGGAAGGCAAGGCCGCGGCCGCCTCCCCCTCCTCCTTGCTGGGCTTCGGTGGGCTGGGGGCATCGCCCACAGTGCGGGGCACCCCAGCCGGCAAAAGCTGCACGCGCTGGGTTCGAGGGGTCGGGACGTACTGGGACCTTATCACCACGCACGTGGCGTCAATGACAAAAATAACTTCTCCGCGAGCAGGGCCGCTGGAGCTGCGGGGCAGGGTGTGGGCGCGGCGGGCGGCCTGCCAACCCTCCCAGGGGCCGGCCCTCCCTCTACGACCCAGGGGCTCTCTCGACCCCGTGCCTCCTGGAGCCCAGGGTCTGGGGAGGGTCTGGCTATGTGGAGGCGGATGCTTTTTAGGGGAGGGAATCCAGGACTTGGGGAGCCAGCTCTGTTCTCTACCTTCTTTCCCTTCCCCGGGGCCCTGGAGATGGGGCCTGGACCTGGGGGCGGGCCGCGGGGGGCTGGGAGTCTCCGTGGCAG